TCACAGGAATAGCAGCACTGGGGCTTTGTCCTGAACTCGAGCCATCCCATCTCGTGGCCAAAATACCTCAGGAAATCAGTGCAAGTTTTGCCTCAAGAAAAGACCCGTGACCTTTTCCAGTGAAAGTCTTGGCTGCTCCAGGGGTGTTTGCACAGCAGACAAAGAAAGAGCATCTTCTTAAAAAGCAAAGCTGGTTGGCAGGAAATCAAACGCTGATTCAAGGCATCGGGGTCAGCCGGGAGCCCGGAACATCCCAGCGGTGTGGTGGGGACCAAGGGCTGCAGCTGAGCCTCTTTCTCAGTTCAGGCTGGAGAGAGAGGAAATACAGGGGGTTAAGTTGCCAATTTTGTCCGAGTTGAAGCTGTATGTAAGCACACAGGGGTCTGAGGCTGCTGCATACACCCCTGAACAAGAGCAGGGCAGGATCTGGAACAGTCTGTGAGGCTCTGGCCTTACACTGGTGAGAGACAAGGAGTAAAAGGAGAGTTTTCAGGTTGTTTTTTTATAGGGCAAGTGGAACATTGCCTGGATTTCTGGGTAAAACGTTTTGGTTTTGTTTTCTTTTTTTTGCAGGAGTATCTCCCTTAAGTCCTGGCTGCAGCAGTAGGATCGGCCTTTCCCATTTGTTCCCGTTATTGCTTGCTTGTGTATTTATTTCTAATGTTTAATTTTAAAAATAAATCTCCTGTTAAAACTGAACTTGGAAAGGTTAAAAACAGGTTTGCTTGCAGGAGCAGATACCTGTGGATGTGTGTGTGTAGGCAGGACTGTACCTGCCACTGGGTTCTCTGAGAGTCTTCCCTGCATCTGTACAAGTTGACGACATCTTGAAAGTGGTATTTTTTCTTTTGTGTCCCAATTGATTTCAGAAACGCAGTGAAAGACACAGATCCAAACTAAATAAGATTAAAGGCTTTAAAAGCTTAATAAATTAAGAAGAGCAAATCTAGCTGATAACATGGCTTTGATAGTAGGCTATAAAGGGCAGGGAGTTAAGGAATTACAGGTAACTGCCTGTTCATCAGCATCCCTTCCTCCTCAGCAGCGTGGGGGCACAAGGCAACAGGTTGGACTCTCCAGCTTTATCAGCAGGACAGGAGCAACAGAAGACAGAGTTGAGGGGATAGAAAAGATTTGAGGGACTAGAATTTAAACAAGCACCCCCGGGCCATACTGCACCAGCTCAGAGTGTCCTGCTGGCATCAACACCTGCCAGTGCCACTGTCCTGCCAGAGCCACGGGAATGCAAGTGGAATGGTTTGAACCCCCCAAGAAGAAACTGTTCCCCGTTTTGAGATGTTTTCTAAGACCCATTTTCCTATTCTCCATTGGGGTCCATCAGGCAATGTTCCACTGCAGCTCAGGTACAGTTTCCCTCTCTGGTGAAGTTTTCATACTGTAATGCCCCTCAGCATGTCCAAACCTCTCTTTGCTCCCTGTGTGTGAGCTGTGCCAGGGCTCTGTAAGCTGAAGAACATTCTCTCTGCCTTTCTTATCTTTCCCAGCTGTGTAAATGAATGATGGCCCAACAGAGAGCTTTGGCTTGTGTTGTTTGCCTGGCTAACAGTTGTTTCACATGGTCATTTGCTATTCCAGTTTCACTCAGATCAGCAGAAACGTGTTTTATTTCGGGAGAGAAAATTCTGCCACAACTCTTCTGATTTTAGTATCGCAACAAATCATTTAATTTAAAGAATGAAAGGTAAAAATGTTCTATGGACTAGAGAAGCAAAAGGAGCAGAGGGAGTCCTGGTTTTAATAAGAATAGTCATAAAGAAGAAAAATTTGTCCTCCCTGATGGAAAGGTCCTGTCAGCTTTGAATGTGTTGAAACCTGTGTCACAATCTGTGAAATTTCTCTTTACAACCAATGCCTCTGGAAAGTAATAGGCTTTCTCAATAGAGTAGTGTGAATCATTGTAAGGAACACTACAGAAAGGATATTACTTGCAGAAACTTGGCAGCACAGAGAAAGATGGCATTTCCTTGCTCAACAAGAGAGATCCGTCTTGGTTCAGTATGTGGGGAAAGATAAATCAGAGCAAACCCTGACCCTGCCCTCTCTGAGCAGGACTGGAGGGACCAGAGCTGAAGGGTACCCTGACATTCTTCACATCCCAACCCCAAATCAAGGCCAGCTTAGCCCAAACATCAGCCCTGTTTACCTGCAAATCTCAGCAGCATTTAGTGAGTAAGCACACAGACCTGTAGAGTAATGAGTAAAATGGTTGTTTATCAATTTGTTTTTAGCAAATATTTCCTTAATTATGCTAAGTTCCTGAGGGAACGGGGACAAACTCAAGGTAACTTCAGGCTGCATTTCCAACAGCTGGATTACAGCAGAGACTCACTACCTGCCTGACACTGATACAGTGTTGGAGTTTCATCAGCAGCATTTGCCTGTAATCAACACATTTTACAGAAAATTGCCTTTTTTTTTTTTTATAAGTGAGGAAACAGATTGTGTGAACTCACACATCCCACAAAGGCTCCCCCCTCCTTTGCTGAACCAGCAGCTGGGCACAGCCCGTCTCTGGACCAGCTGAGTCATGCCTGCAGCTCCCAGGTACACAAAAACATTTTAAAAATGCAGAGAAAGTGGCAAAAGAATGTAAGCCATGATGGAAAGAACCTGGAGACGAGGGCAGTTGCACTAAAGGAGAAGGAAGTGTGGTATGAAGATAGTTTTTGGGATCATGGCAAAAAATCCAGAGCTCGGAAACCTCTGAAGGAGCTGTGCCCCAATCTGAAGCCATGTAGAATATCAGGTCCCTCTCCAGGGCAGTTGGATACCTCTCACTTCACAGCCTGGTGTCTTCCCTGGTCCAAAAAAACCAGGAAGCATCATGAGCCTGTGGAAGAACAAGCTTTCCCCCTTTTTATACAGCCCTAATGGCAGATGTTCATTTGTGAGAAGAAAACGCTTCTCCAGACATGGGTGTCCTGATTCTGGAGTGGGAAAACTCATGGCAGAAGGCACGGGTTGGAGGGGTCTGTCTTTATACTGATTTTCGGAGCCTGAGAGCGACAGGCAAAGCAGAGCAGGGTACTACCTCAGCAGAACACCCCCATTGTGTCCCCTCAGCAGAGTGACAGCCACAGCACCGGCTCCCATGGCACACCCCCACATCCATGCAATGCACAAAGCCAATTAAATGCCTGATTGGATGAAGTGGTCACAGTCAAATGGCCCCTTGCCAGCCAGTCAGGATGCAAAATTGACAAATATCGTAAAGGTGTGTGCCTTAATCCCCTCCTGAGGGATTAAGTGTTTAACCTATTACTGGTGTTTCTGACGAGACACAGCAAAGCTGCTGGGCTGAGGGGGAGCAGTGCTCGCCCCAGCCCAGCCCTGCAGCCTCGTGCTTGGCCACAGCATCTTCCAGGTGGTTCAGATGGATCAGGGCGGGGCAGTTTGTGTTGCTTCAAGAGGAAAACTATTTCCTCTTGTAATAGGAGAGAGAGATTTGGTGACTGCCTCCATTCCCTCCCCATTCTCTGTCCCCCTTTGCTTGTGAAGGTGTTGGAGAGGGAAAGCTGCTTACCCCTGCTCTGACTGACCACTCTTAACCAGCCTGCCAGAGAGTTCTTTGAAGTACAGATTTTTATTGAACTTTCAAGGCAGTGCTGAGAATTGCGATACCTTCCTAGCCCAGGAGAGGTGTGAAGGTGATTTCCCCACTGATCCAGGAAGAAGGAGGAATAATGGCCCTTTAATAGATGAGGCTTCTCTCATCATGTGGCTTGAGAGACACCTGCAAACACTCACATCCTTAAATGCTTTAAGCCATCACACAAGCTCTGGTGCTTAGTTCCCAGCCAGGAAAAGGTGTCACAGAGCAGACTAGGATTACCCACAGTTAATGTCTGATTAGTAGTTAAATTAATATTGACTATCGATGGTAAATTGTAATGATTTATTTAGGTGAAAATAAATATGAAATGTCATAATGCAATCCCAGTGTACTAGTATGATAATTAAACACACTTCGAAATCTTATCCTGACAAGGAAATCTCCTGCTGTGCCTTGGCACTAGCAAAGACAGGTCGATGGAGGGGGTTACACTGTGTTAGTGAAGACATGTAAAGAGAAGATCTCTCTGTGCAAGGCTGGGCACTGGGAAAAACCTTCTGGAACAGGTTTGCCCCCTGCACTCACTGATTCTCCTGTAGATACAGCATTTAAAGGCTGTGGGGATGCAAAGACCAGCATGCAATTGCATGTTCATTGTGCTCTTTCAGCTGTGTGTGTAGAACAGCAGCTCAGAGCTGGGGACCAGATGTTGCCTCATACACAGGTGATGGCTACAGGTAAAAGTGCATCTTTATGCAAATGTGGTTTGAAAATTGGCCCCAGCACTTCAACAGTAATGGAGTTTTATTTCTAGGACATAGTACTGGCCTTGAACCATGTTATTAGTGCTGAAGAGGAAAGCAACCTGTCCTGGAAAACTGATGTGTTTGCAGAATTCCTTTACTGGTGGCAGCATTTTCTGAGGGGTGAAAGTGGAGGAGAGAGTTTCCTCCTCTCTTTTACTTTGATGGATGTGTGCTGGAAAGCAGAAACATGAGAGGTGTCAGGAATGACGGAGTGATGCTGAAGGCTCTGACAAATGAGCTCTTGAAAGTTATTTTTGTGTTTTTGTGAATGTGATTATTTCACGTTTAAGGTGTTACCACCCTGCTGCTCACCTCTGTCCTCTGCCAGAGGCACCTTCCCAAAGTGCACACACCAGAGGAACGGCCCACACAGGCACTGGAGCTCTCTGCTCTGCATTAGTTTGGCCATCAGAGGAGAGGGGGGATGAGTACAAAGGGGAAGGGGGATGTGTAGGCAAGTGTTGTGTCCTACTGACCCAGTTCATAGGCAGCAAATTGCTTTGGGAATGGAATCCCACCTTCAGCTGCTGCAGGGATTTGCTCGGGGAGCTTGTTAAAACCTTGAGAATAAACATTGTGGGTCCACAAACCGTAACTCTCCTTTTCCTTCTCCCTTCCAGCTTGCTGCATTAGAGAGGCAAGTGTTCGACTTCCTGGGATACCAGTGGGCCCCTATCCTGGCCAACTTCCTCCACATCATCATCGTTATCCTGGGCCTGTTTGGCACCATCCAGTACAGACCTCGCTACATTGTGGTGGTGAGTGACACCCTTTTGTTCTGAGCCTTTCACAGCCTCTGCTCTGGGGGGACGTGGCACATGATGAGGAACTGAGTAAAGCCCTTGGGAAATCAGGCAGAAGCCCTGCAAACTATTTCAGCAGGAGGTGCCTGGCTGTGCTTAGGAACACAATGTTCAGTGGGCTGTGCTTGTGCCAGACTTGGAAGATTTTAGATAATTATTGCTGGCGCTAAAAGTAACACCCAGACACTGCACAGCAGAGAGGGAGAGTGAGGTGCTGGACAAATGCCTGTCAGAAGGTCTTCCATCCCTCCAAACTCCTGCCCCTGTGTCTCTTTCAGGCAACAGATTATCTGCATATGGAAAACAAACAGAGGAAGAAAAACTTATTGCAGCGCTGACTCGGGGCATTCCACTGCCCCCAGCTAGAGCTCATATATGTGCTCACTAATTTCAGTGACTTCTTAATGTTTATTGCTTCTCTCTCCCCAACCCCATTCCCTTCCAGTATGCCATCTGGACTGCAATTTGGGTCACCTGGAACATCTTCATCATCTGCTTTTACTTAGAAGTGGGAGGGCTCTCAAAGGTGAGTGGGGACTGGATGGGTGAGTTCTCAGCTTATGCAGTGGAGGGGATGGAGTTTAGTGGGGAGGGGAGGAGTAGGGTAGGGACTATCTGGGAGCAGGTCCTAATCCTGCCCACTTGCCTGTGGAGGAGGTTGCTTTATGAGGGGATGGAGGAGTACTGCTTTTTTATTTAAAAATGAGGAGCCAATGCTGATTTCTGGAGTTCTTTGCTGGTCAGTGCAGGTGGTGGCTGGTAGAGTGTATTTGCTTTCCAGAGGTGGGAACAAGAGCCGTCCTGAGGGAAGAGGGGCTTTGAGGGCTGATTCCCAGCCATAATGCAGAGGTGGCTGAGGAGGGCTATGAGCTAACTAGGTTATAGCTGATCCTTTTGTGATCTGACACCAGCTTGGCAGAAGATGTCTGATGGAGGGGAAGGCCCTCGTGCAGCATTGAGTGTGTTCTCTCTGCCAGCCTAATCCAGGGAAGAGCTGGGCTGAGCTGGACCAAGGACTTTGCTGGAACTCCATACCTGACCAGCTCTTGATATTTTTGTGCCTCCCAGTCCTGCTGAAGACTTAGTGCACTTCAGCTGTAGGGATAAGTACCTGCTTGTTGCCACACCAGGCAAAATATTTCCTATTGTACCTTTTGGGAGAGGCTCTTCTCTCTGCTGAACAGAGAAATCCCTCCCCAGAGGGGTGCTGGTGAGGCTGGCACATCTCTGGCTGGGATGTGGCTTCCCTGCCTTAATTCTGCCTTTTTAAATACGGTGGTATTTACTCATGGCTGTTGGCCAGGGTGTTGTGAGTTAATATGTGAAGCTCTTTGAAGACTAGATTAGCTGAGTATTGCTGTCTGCTTAATGAGGGGTGAGTCAGAAATAATAAAAATGGGAGGCAGGTCCTAAATTAAGCCTGGGCTGTGAGCAACGAATTAAGAAGTGTTGCTGTAGCACAGCAGACTGAGAGTCATTGTAGGATATGGGTTCATTTCAGAGCACTCTACATCTGGCCAAAATTGAAGTTTCAGACATAATTGGAACTGCCCTGTGGTTTTTATCAGGCCGACAGCAAGTCAGGACTGACAGCACAAATCTTTTGCAGATAAGAAAATGTAGCTTCCTAATTTCTCAGTTCATCTTCATTTCCCCTCTCAATTATCCCCAGAAACTTTGAGGGAGTCCTTGATTACTCATGATCTGAAATCTCCGCCTGAGATGATCTCGATGTTGGCTGCGACGAACTAAAAAAAAGAATTTTATGTAACTATTGAAATGCTCCCTTCTATGGAGGAAATATTGGCTTGGTAAACTGCACTGGAAGCTTCTCTGACAGCCACTGTTTGCTTCCAGCCAGCTGGTTACTCGTGTTTGCTAATCCCAACCTGCCATCGGGCTCTGTTCTGCAATTCAAACAGCACAAACTCCTCTTTCTCCCCTACAGAGCAGCTTCACCTGGTAACCTTGCTCTGTGCTGGGGCTCGTTTTAGCCAAGCCAGCACACAGAGAGGCTTTATTTAGCCTACAGGATGACACTTGTGACTGGGGACTTTTTTTATAGAATTGGGCTGCAGTGTCAGTTGTTACTGACTCGGTGGATTTCCCTCTAGGGCTGCACTGAGAAATTAGTTCTTTTAGTGGCAAATAGCAAAACCAACAGAGTATTTGTGCTTGTTTGTCAGTAAAATACTTGACAGCCTTGCCTCTGTTCTTAATGAGTTGCTTTCACTTAAAAAAGCTATTTTGTAAGCAAAACTCAGGATGCTGCTTTCTGTCCTCCTTCTCCCCCTTAACTGAAGTAATTTGGGTCTTTGTAGTGGCAAAACAAATCCTCACTTCCACAAGAGACCAAAAGATGCTTCTGAAGCAGGAGCTGAGGTTTCTGTAGGACAGCGGTGCTTTGTAGACTGGCCCAGGAGTGGTGTTGCTCTGCTGCTGCATCTCTGGAAACCTGATCCAAAGCCAGCTGGCATCTTATTGATCTCAGTCTTGGGATCAGACCCCAGATCTGGGCTTGGATGCAGAGTTGCAAGGAGCAGGTTCCTCTGTGGGCCCTCAGGGCCCTCGGGAGGAAGCTGCCCTTTAGTTCCTGATAAGAAGTCAACCTCAAAGCTCATCATTAGCCTGGCAGTAAGCAGGGAAATTGCAAATATTGGAAAAAGAGCTTTGGTGGAGTGAGACTGATGGAGCTGGTCTGATAAACACTAACTCATTAACTACTAGACTAAGCATGAATACACTGGGGAGTGTTTCAGACAGGGTTGTGCTCCTGTGCAAGTGCCTTAAGGGACTGATAGCTCTGAGGAAGATCTTCAGGGTGCTGTTTCCTCTGTGATTACTGATGAGCCTGGGGGAGTGGGAGTAGCTCCTGCCAGCCCTGTGCTCCCCCTGCTGTGCTCCTGCCAAGGGCAGCCTGCCAGGGCGGGCTCTGTCAGCAGCTCATTGATAATGACAGGATGCAGAAAGGGCAGGGAGATGGGAAGAATGGAGTTTGTTAACTTTGGTGGCTGGTAATGACAGCCCACTGCAACTGAGACAGGTGATAACTCAGGTGGGGTGAGAAAGGGGAGAAAGGGTACAAGTGTTTCTGATGTAAAAAGTTCAGAAAAAGCCCAGAGAACTGAAAAGATGAGGAAACAGTTATGTGCACTTATTGAAAATTTAAATCACTAGTTGCACTATCCTTAGTTTATTATGGAAAAGGAAAGTACTTTTTCCTGCTCTGTGAATCTATTCCATATTTCTTGGAAGAGCTAAACTGGCCTGATTTCTATCTTTCTATCTTTTTTTTTTCTTGCAGTCTTTTCTTAGCAGAATTAAGAGTATGAAATATGGCACAGCAGAACTTCATTAGGTGGCCAGACACAAGTGGCTCAGCACAAGTGTCTAAGGAAGCACTTCCCTTGGTGCTACAAGGGCCTCCCTAAGCATGTAGCCTGTGCCAGCTTTCCTGTGAGTGCTTTGCCAATGAGCAGGCGAGTGAGAGAGCAATCTGGATTTGAAGGAATGCTCCTCAGCACTGGCAGTGAGGTGGTGATGTGTCTCTGAGCAGCTTTTGGCAGCACTGCCTTGCTGACTTGCTCTGCTTGTACCTCTGAGCACACTTGCAGCATGTGGGGGAAATGCAGCAGCTCCAAGTGCTGTCGCTCTGCTCTGTGGTGGGGCTAACAGCTGAATTTCCAGATTGCTGTTCCTCCTCCTGTGGTCTGCTCCTGTTCCATCTCCCTCTCTTCTCTTTGTCCATCTGGCCATTTGATTTGGTGAATTGCTGGGAGATAGCTCTGAAGTTTCTAGGCTGTGCTTGAAATAATACCTTAAGCTTCTCCCTGTCTACCCGAGCGTGAAACACATCCCTCCTGCAACCCCTCAGTCTGAGTTAATTATTAAAATCCTGCTGTTAAGACATATGAGCATCTGTCTGTCCAGCTGCCGTGCTGACTGACTCTTATCATGTACTTGAGAAATGTTCAGAGAGGTTTGAGGAATTGGTGTTGTGTATTTCAATGTATTCCTTTGTATTTTCCCTCTGGAATTGCTCATCTCGAATGGTGATTGTTAATTTGTTTTTTTATCCTTCCTTTATATTCTCTCTAGTCTACACAGTGCTTTGATCTGAATCCAGAGCTGTGGTGGTCTAAATCTCCTCTTGAAGTGGAAGCAGCCCTTATTAGTCAAATGGGAGTTATTTGTATTCCAGAGAATCTGGACAGCATCTTGGGATGACTTTGTACCTGGGGAAAATACTGTGAGGAGGATGGATAAATGCATGTGTACTTACAACTGTCCCTCAACTCCCTCTAAATTTAGAACCTTGAAGCCTGGGATTTGGCCTTTAAATGCTGTGACATTGTCAACAAGCCTCCTGAGAGACACTGGAAGTGCTTCTCTGTGTCTCAGGGTGATACAGCTACTTGGCACACAGGACTGAAAGATGAACATCATATTTCCTATTCTAATAAGAAATGTTTCCATCTAAAAAAGATTTTAAAAATGATTCTGCTGTCAAGCTCTGGGGCTCCCATGCGAGGTTCAGTTTGTTCCAGAGCTGTTATGGTGCTGTCTTGCCTGATAATTAAGGAAATTTGGGGGAGGCGGTTCAGAAGGCTGTTAACAACAAGAAATAAAACCATCTCTGATGGTGTCCCTTAGCAAATAATTTCAGAACAGCTTTCAGAAAGCTATTTTAGAAAAGAAATGCATCTGGCTCTGTGGGTGTTAGAGGTAGGTGTGAGTTTCCCGTGGGACACAGTGGGGTGAGGCTGGGAGCGGAAAATAGACTCTGTAAAATGTAGGTACTGCTGGTTTAGTGCTGCTTTAGTGCTGTTGTCTTGTTGGCAAACGGATGGCAGCCAGGTGCTACAACAGTTCAGAGTGAGCTGTGATTTTTTTGGCTGGCCTTCAGCATGCTCCCGAGAAGGAGCTTGTGTCACTCTTGGCTCATATTTCTCTCCAGGCTGAAGGTTAAAGAGGCAGCGATAGCCCTGGAAAGAAGAGAGGGGGAGTGCAGTCACACACAGATCCCTCTCTGCAGCAGGGCTTGCTCACTGCTGGGACTGATTAACCTCTTCCAACCCACAAGCACTTCTGGGAGTATTTCGGTGTGTTTAGATCCCAAGTGTGTTGCAGAAAGGTTTTGGGAAGCAGCTGTTCCCTGGACTTTCTTACAACTGGTTCTTTTCTCCTGATTTTAGTGTGCTGTGTTTCACTTCTCTCCAACCATCTTCTCACAAATGAAGCTGGCAAACCACAGGAGACATCCTGGGATTGTTTTCCTATTCTCCCAGCAAGCACTGAGCGACTGCAGGTCAATTAAGGGATTTTCCTGAGTGCTTTTTTATTGTGCCACATCACTCAGGTACCTTCCCAGGGCATCCAGCCAGGGACACAAGGAAAGGAACAGCACTGCTTTGCATGTTGAGACCCTCTCATTCGTGCTGCCCTCCTGCCCTGCTGTGCTCCAGACAGATGCTGGTTCAGAAAGGTGTCTCTGAACACAAAGACATCCATGATCCCAGTGTGCAATCAGTATTCATTTTACATCTGTGAGATGGATGGCTCATGAGTGCAAGTCATTGTGCTGCCTTTAGAATCCAAATGTGCTCAGTTTTTCCAATCTGTTCTTCACTGATGTATAATTTTTTAATTTTTTTTTTTTTTGGACAGAGCTGGAGTGTGATTGGAGGCAAAAAGAAGCCAGTGCTGGTTAGGACCTCCTGTTCCTCCACCTGCCAACCTCCAGCCACACCTGTTCTGCTTTTTCAGGCTTAATACACGAGAAAGTTCAGCTTCTGCAGCAGAGTTAAGCCAGAGCCAAATCTGGCTGACAAAAGGGAGATTCTAGAAGGAAAGCAGCCTGTTTCTTACTTTGCCAAACACACATCAATGCCTCTGTAAGGAGCAGAGAAGGCACTGAGGGGTCTGTCTGCATCAGCGAGGCAGAAGGTTTGGGGAGGCACCATCTGTGAGCTGGGAGAGGGAAGCCCTGGAGACTGAGGTTAAGAGTAGATCCTGTGGTGCCCTGGGGAACAGCTTTGGTTCTGTGCTAACTGGGGGAAGCCCTGGGCAAAGAAACAGGAATTTAGTCTTCTTTTTTTTTTTTTTTTTTTTAATATGAGGAAAGTGACTCTTTCACCCCCCAACTAAAGTGGTGAGTGATTTGTGAGAGAGAGAAGAGCCCAGTGTCTTGGAGGGCTGGCTGTCTCCGGGAGGAAAAGCTCCATGTGTCTCAGAACATGCAAACTTGGGAGAAAAAGAACAAGCTTTGCAGAAAAGATGTGATTTGGTGGAAATGAGATATCTGTGGGCCACTGAAGAGTGAAGCCCAGCAGAGGGAGCAAGCCAAAGACGTCTGCCAAAACTGTGAGAAGCTGGAAAACTGTCTCTTAGAAGTGGAGCTAACGCAGCACCTTGCACTGTAACTGCATTCCCCTGTAACTGTCAATCCCAAAATTATTCCCCATAGCCTTCAAAACGCAGACAGCTCCCTCTGAACTCCCAGCTGTTAACGGAGTTTTCCCCATTGTCTTTGCTGTTCAGGCTGCTTTTGCACTGGTGCCACACTCCATCTCCGTGCCCTCCTCCATCTCCTGTAAAGCACATGCCATCTGCTGTGGTGATTATGTCAGGAGCTTTGGCAGCTGCCTTCTCACTTAATTGTCCACATTTCTTAACATGTGCTTCCTGCAGCACATTTTAATAACGGCTCTGCAGACGGGTTTTGGGTCTCTGTGGTGGGTGGAGGGAACCCCCACCATGTGCAGAGTGGGGCAGTTGGTTTCTGTTCACAGCTTATCTGGCTGCCATTTGGAGTTCTGCCCTTGCAGCTCAAGTTTGTCCATGAAGATGCTTCTGTGTGTCCATGTTTGTGTCTTCTGGGCTCTTGTGTTGGGTGTGGAGACAAGCTCTCTCTCAGGAGGGTCATTTGGAGCAGGAGCTTGGATAAGCTGCTGTGAATCTGTTTTTCCTCTTGACTCTGAGGGGAGCTGGCACAGAGGAGCTGCCTCAGGTTTCCCATGCTGGGAAGTGTGAATACCCCAAGCTCTGACTGCTGGGAGCCACTGCTTCCCTCCAGGGACTGTGTAGGACCCCGGCACGAGGAGTGTGCAGTAGGTTATGGATAGGTACTAAAACTTTTACTAATGGATAGGTGGGACGTGTAATTCCAGTACCTATCTCTACTCTGCAGAGACACAGAATAAAAAATTGTAATGAAGACAATCTATCCTTTAGAATAAAACTTCCAGCCTGTTGCCTTGTTTTGTGGTCAAGAGGGATTGTTGATTCTGCATCAAACTGAGCTGAGGGGGCTGCTGGGGCACCCAGCACTTGTCACTCATCTGCAAAGGGATGCAGCTGCTCTGTTCAGCCACTCCTGAGTTTGTCTTTTACTCCCTACAGGGCTTTGCCATGTCTTGTAAGCTCAAAAATTCCAATCTGGGTATTCTTTTCTCAAGTGTGAGGGAAGTGTGGTCATTTTTAAGTGAGCACCTGGCTGCACATCAAACCCTTGCACCACTTGAGTGGCATTTCACTCTGTAACCCCCTCAACGGCCTGGTTTAAGGTATTTAACTAGCAAAGACAAGAACAGCAAAACAAAAAGCCTCTTGGGGTAGGGAGGATAAGGAATTGCTGGGGAGGTGTTTACAAGAAGCTGCAATCAGCACCCTGAGGTCAGCTTGGCTGGGCAGTCTGACCTGGGGCTGACAGAAGATGCAAAAGAACCAGATGTGAAGAGTGTGGAAGGAAGTCAGACAGAAATGGAACAGGAGCTTGTCAGGTGTGTTAAAAGCTCAGAACAGAGGAAGGTCTGTTGTGTTTTGAAACTCACTTTGGGGTTATGGAGTTCATATTTTCCAGTTCCCTGTGGTGACTCCTGTGCTGGGGAGAGCATGTCCACAGCACATGGTTCTGTGACAGGACACTTTGTGCTGCCTTGTTTAACTTTGCAAATCTAGAAGAAAATGGTAATCTCCCAAGCCCACAGGTTGAAGATTCTTTTCTGGGTGCAGGAATCACTAGCAAAGTGTTCTTGGGTCTGCAGTTTAGAAAGTGGCATTCTAATTTGGAAGCTGCTCAGACCTGCTTCCAAACTATGCTACAGGATGGTCACGCAGGTTTGTTGGAGAGCTCTAAGGCTGCCTCAGGAATGGTTTAGAAGCAGCCTGCCTGTGAAATATTTTTAGATTAGATAATAGGACAAAATTCTTCCCTGTGAGAGTGATGAGGCCCTGGCACAGGTTGCCCAGGGAAGCTGTGGCTGCCCCATGCCTGAAAGTGTTCAAGGCCAGGTTGGATGGGGCTTGGAGCAACCTGGGATAGTGGACAGTGTCCCTTTCCAAGGCAGAGGGGGTGGAACTGGATGATGTTTAAGGTCCCTTCCAACCCAAAATCATTCTATGAGGGAATATAAAGCCAATGTACTTTGATCTGTGCTGGCATTTCCTGAGAGTGGGGATCTCAGAAACTTTAGGTTTTCCATTGATTTACTATGACCTCCATCTGACAGCCTGTCTGACACTCTCAGAGTAAATGGGGATCTCTTTACAACTTTCCCCTCTAGGACAGCGAACTCCTGACGTTCAACATCTCCCGGCACCAGTCGTGGTGGAGTGAAAATGGCCCTGGCTGTGTGAGGAAGGAGGCTTCAATGTCTGGCATCAAGGGGCTGGATAACCATTCCTACATCTCTGTCATAGGCTGTGCCCTGGAGTACAGGTACATCGAGGTCATGCACAGCTCCTTCCAGATCCTGATTGCGGTGAGTACGTCGCTGAGGGGATGCATTTGTTGAGGAGATGCTGTTTGGTTTTGTTTTTTCCCAGGCACAGAGGTTGGCCCATGTTTTCCACCACATTTTGTATCATCTGATTGAAAAGTCCTCTGTAAATGTGTTTTGTCTGATTGTTCTCCTGTTCTCTCTATGGAAAAGTATTGCTTGAAAGAATTGGAAATGGATACTGGCAAACTAATGCCTGAAGTAATGCATCCATCCAGCCACACAATAACAAATCATTCTGTATACTGTTGGGGGGTGGAAATTCATGTTTTGACAAGGACAGAGACCCTTCTGGAGAAGGGTAAAGAGACAAGAGTTTTGATAGGATGAGAGGAAATGACCTTAATTTGCGCCTGGGGAGGTTTAGTTTAAATTTTGGGGACAATTTCTTCACAGAAAGGGTTGTAAAGCACTGAACAGACTCCCCAGGGAAGTGGTGGAGTCACCATCCCTGGAAGTGAACAAAGAATGTGTGGATATGGCACCTGAGGACATAGTTTAGTGATGAGCGTGGTGGTGGTGCTGGGTTGATGATTGGACTTGATCTTAAAGGTCTCTTCCAACCTTAATAATTCCATGATTCTATGAAGGATTGCTCTCATTCCCCGTGACTTAGTGATGGGTGCCAGAGCACATACATGCACATTTGTTGTGAAGAATTAAAAAAGATCCTTGTCTTCAGAAAATGAAAAAAAAAAATTTAAGGAAGCAGTAAGCAGCAAATTTCCCTTTTGCTGACACCCAGGATATATGCACTAAATGTTCTCATCCACTCTTCCCTCATCAGTCTTCCACAGGCTTTTTAAAGTACTCTGCAGCAATGCAATGTCATTAATGCTCACTGTTAATTATTTCTCACTTGTCTGTGAAATTAACTGAAACAAAATGTCTGTTTTCCCCCTCACTTTGTGGGTGCTCTTGCATTTTGTAGCTGCATTAGAGTCAGCAGCCCACATCTCTAATCTGCTTTGGGTTGTTACTTTGGGGTTAATGGCTCTAAGTACAGATGTGGACTGGTGAAATATTCACATTTTGGCTTCCAGTTTTGGCTTAAAAAAGAGAAGTATCTTGCCCTGTTTAAATATTAAAGGACAACAAATAGTGATTTTCCAAGTTTCTGGATTGCCAAGTACTTCTCTGCACGTTTTTGGTCCTGCTTTCCATTGTCCTGATCCTGCATTTCCTGTTAGCTGGGATGATCTGTGTGACCCAGTGAACTTCAGGGAGGGGGGAAGACTCAACCCCCTTTCTTGCCATGTCACAGAGAAGAGGCAGATGGAGAAGCTCCTGTTTCCTGAGTTGGATGGACTCCCTGGCGTGTGCTGGCTGTTAGTATTCCGTTAGTTCTCCTTCAGGGAAAATGATCTGCATGAAACTGTCTGAGCTGCTTCCACACACGTGTGTGAGAAAGGCAGACCTGTGCATCCAGGAGAATAGAGCTTGTTGTCTTTTAGAAAGGGCCGTTGGCTGGAAGAGGATTGGTGGTGCTGAGCTGGTGCTGAGCCTGAGTTTGGTGAAACAATTGACAGACTTGGAAGTCAGAACATCCCTTTTTAAAGCACAGAAGTTTGTTACTGTTCACATCCTTCCTGAACTCCTGAGCTGGCACAGCCCCTGTGCCCTGGGCTAGAGGTTGAGCCAACAAATGGTCCTGAGTTTGCTTGGAGCAGATCTTTGTTTTTTGGCAGCTTACTGACTTAGGCACGTGGCCCTGGGCTAAGTGATCACACTGATATATAGGACTCTGTCTCTGGCAGTGGATTTTCCTTTGCTTCTTCCCAAAGGCACATGACAATACTCTGTGCATCTGCAAAACACCACTAAGGGGCCAGATGGGGAGACAGGAGGGAAATATAAGATAAAATAGGATTTAGGCAAATATTTTCTCTCTCCTTCTCCCTGAGATCTAAGGTGAAATGGGTTTTTGAGTCCTAAACCCTGGAAATGAGGCTAAAATACTTGTAGGCAAGAAACCCATATGGTCTGAGCTATGCAGGGAACTAAGTTTCTACTTGTCCTGAAATAAAAGGAGAGTGTTGAAGCCCCAGGCCTGTAACTGCTGCTGGCTCTGGAATGCTCATATAATTTTGTCATGCAGTGGGAGAAATACAGCTTTTCCCCTCTGCTTTGAGGTCAGGCAGAAAGCAAATCTTCTCTCTTTCTCCCTCAGACCTTGCCTGAAAGCAGTCAGCCAGTTCTCTCCCTTTTTACTCTCTGAGGGTCAAACTCTTTGATCCCTGCCAGTATCTTTTTCTGTTCTCTTTATCTCACTTTGAGGCAGGTTTTATTACAGGCAGCTGTCCCCGGGGCTCTGGCAGGTACAGTGCTGCAGACAGGCAGGGACACCAGATCGATGGTACAAAAACACGACCAGGAACTTGAAGGCTCAGGGGATGCAGCAAGAGACATGACCTAGTTCCCTCCTTGTCTGAGACCAGAATAGCCAGTTCCCTGTTAAGAAGGGCAAGGGACAGACAAAACTGTGTTTTCTGTAGTTTGTTTTTGCTTTGCCTAGTGGTTTTTAGAAGTTGTGAAGGTGTGGTTGGTGCTCGGCTTTGCTTGTTTTTTATCCCAGATATAGCACTGTGAAATCCATGCTCTTTAGCTATGCAGCACCCAGCTGTGAGTATTTTGGTTGTTTTCTGGAAGTACCAATTCCTTGAGACTAGAGCACAGTGTTGTGTATGTGGGGCAAGGCTCACTGAATTCAATCTCCCACGCCAAAGGAGAGGGAAAGCAAACCTGAACCCATATGGTGAGCACAGTGTTGGCTGTCGTCTTGACTCCTGCTGATGCATCATCCTGCTCCTGGGCATACATTTGAGGATGCATAAGGTCTCAGTCTGCTTTTGCTCAGAGCTTGTCTGTACTCCTTGAAGGCAAAAGCAATCCCTTTAATCTGGAATGCCATCCAACTTGGGCATATTAGTCACCACACGTGATACAAGTAGCTGTAGGGCCCAACATGAAAATCTTTCTCAATGCTTTAATATGAAACACATCGGAGGAATAAGCTTATTGTAACATCTAAAAGTCTGCACTGGTATAGAAATGAACTGTAAAACTAATCCTGCCAGCCCAGTTAGGGAATGGAACAGCAACTACTTTGTCAAGGAAAGAAATCTGCTTTGTTTTTGTCCTAGCAAGGATTCATCTTGCCTGTCCCCAGCTTGCCAGCCAGCAGGGAGAGGAGCGATTCCCAGTTCTGAAATACCTGGCGTAGCTCTGGGCTGTCCATATGGTAGTTCTGGGGGTGGGGTGGTTTAGGCTTTTCCCGAGGCTTCATTGAATTTGGTAGAAATTGGAAGTGTCTCACTGCCTGCCTGTCTGCTGTTTTCAGTCAGACTGACAGGTTGGAAGGTTCCCAGGAAGGCAGCAATGCAAGCCTTGACAGCAGATGTTATGTGAGAACCAAGGCACAAGAGATGCTTTGCTCTTGGCAGAAGGTAGTTTTTCAGTGGCCGTATTGCATCCAAGGAGTAAAGAAGGTCAGGGAATCAAAGGATTTTGATTGCCTCCCTTTGGCTATCTGGCCACAATAGCCCTTTCACAAGCTGGATTTTTGCTTTCTCATAGCAGAGATCTCTTCATTTCCCCCTCTTGCACTGATGAGAGTGTACACACTTCATTAGCTCTGATTAGAAGTGAAACCTAGAATGCATCTGCCCTGAAGGAGGAGACTCTGCACCTACTCTCTGTGGTGAAAAAAGCAACAGCAAGTTTGTCTACTGAGAGGAGAGTTGGAGAGTCCAGACTCTCCACTAGGACAGAGATAGACTAAGATCCTAAACAAGCAACAGTAACACCTCCTAAAATTTCCCTTCCCATCCTTGGTGTATTTTGCACACTTGCAGCCAGCTGGTCCCTTTCTGTAGCTCTTGCTCTAATTTGGTCTTTTTCAGTTCGATGCTGCTGTTTTAGGAATCGCTGTGGAAAAGTTAACTTCAGAGGGCTGAGGGATGTTCAGACATATGTTTTCCTCATTCCCTTTGGGCACACTCATCTCTTCCTGTCTTTCCTGCTCTGTTTATTTGCCTGCAGAGTGCTCGGGACGCCCCAGCTCCATCCTCTTTTGTTCGGCAGCATGTGCGTTCCCAGGCTGTCTGACGGGCTGACGGAACACACCTGCCTGCAACATGTGTTCCTAATAAAAAAGCTTAATCGGATACTTCTGCAGCTTGGAGAAAGCTGGTACTGAACAGGCAGAACAAGTAGAGAAACAGCAGCAGAGGCTAAAGCCCTAGAACATTCTTTGGAGAATTAGAGAAGTAACTTAGTGTCATTTTACATCACTGGCGTTTTCCCTCTGCTTCCACCTCCCCTATGTACTTTGCAAAGATCTAAGAATTATTTTTGTTTTCCTGAGATAGTAGAGATTAAACCCCTCTTTTGCATTGAAATCAGCAACCAAAATCTGCAAGGGTGGGATTCCAAATTCTTGGCCTCTGTGAAGCTTTCTGCTCTGTGTTAATTGCTCATAAGCTGGGCGATGTCTGGGGGCTTGATACATCTTCATCAGGGATGCAGTAAGAAAAGAACTGTTGGTGTCTCTTGGAGTCTGCTGATCCCAAACTCTAGCAGACTCTTCCAGTGGAAAGGACTGGACAGTATGAATGGCATTTCTGCTCTGTAGCTATATTTCATGCATAATTCATTCTGAAGGACATTCCTATGAGTTCAATTAATCCCTGAGATGGTATGTTTAATTACAGTTTGGTTCACCCCATATAAAAATGCAGCTCATGTTTTGTTGTGCAGGTGTTTGCCACTGAAACTCTCCTGTTCTGGCCAGATCACAAGACTAAAAAAACTTCTTTGAGTAAAAAGTACCATTAAATAAACAGTTTTTTTATTGATGAAACTCATATAAAGCAGGAATGGACTATAAAGTCAATAAAAAGTAGATTTTAAGCACTAAGCAGGTAATTTTGAAACCAAGGGAGGAGATGGAAGAAATAAGAAAAGAAAACCCTCCACTCCAGTGGAGCTGGAATTAGAGACTTAGGGAAGTTCACTTCATTCACTAGTTTTTGTTTGATTGGTTTGTTTTTATGAATGCAAAAAGTCACCTTAGTCATAAAAGGAAAAATGTATGGGGTGAGTGGAATGATGGTTGAGGGTTATGAGGCATTAATTTCTGTGCAAAACAAACTTCCCAAGTCACTCCTATCGTTTGGTGCTTCTGAACCGTGAAAAACGTTCAGAGGTTTATCAGGTTTGCTGTGACAGTACAGCTGATAATCGCTCACACACTCTGCCCATAAACTGGGCAGGTAAATCATTTTCATTGTTAATTCTATCAGGAGTTTCCTGACACAGGTATCACGTAAGATTTGTGTCCACATGTTATGGAGTATAATAATAGTGAATGGATTTCGGGCTGCCACTTTACACGGCTGTTAACCCAAAGTTCTTACTCTGAGGCATGATGGGAAATCTGGGGAGGGAGAAAAATGTCCTAGAGTTCCTTTGGAATCAGGGTAGACGTCCAAGATGCATCTTTCCTGCTTTTCTGTGTGTATGTAAATCGCATGGTTTGATGTTATGTGAAAGGCTGGATCTTCAACCTGTGAAAATGCCAGAGCAAGTGCAGAGGATGTGTGTGACCACACTCCTCATTTGTTGCTTGGGCAAATGCATTTATGCTGGAGACCAGAGTGAGCAGAAGGGTGGGTGGACGTTTCATGGGATGCTGGGATGTGCAGAAAGCACTCTGTTTTTTCCAAGAGCGTGTCTCGGTGTTAGCGAGGTCAGGTCCCCCAGCCCAGGGACGAGCGCTCACTGCGGGTTTCACGGGGCTCCCGGGAGCGGCCTCGGGGCTTCAGCACCACGGCCAGAGCCCGGCCCAGGCTCCGAGTCCTGGAATCCTTTGGGTTGGGAAAGCCCTCCAAGATCATCAAGTCCACCTGCTCCCCCAGCACTACCAAGCCCAGCCACTAAACCATGTCCCCAAGTGCCACATCCACATGTCTTTTACATCTCTCCAGGGGTAGTGGCTCCACCACTTCCCTGGGTAGCTGTGCCAGGGCTGGACAACCCTTTCAGAGAAGAAATACTCCCTAATATCCACTCTAAACCTCCCATGGCACAACTTGTCTGCTTGTTACTTGGGAGCAGAGCCCGACCCCCATCCAGCTCCACCCTCCTGTCAGGGCGTTGCTGAGAGCAAGAAGGTCCCCCCTGAGCCTCCTTTTGTCCAGGCTGAGCCCCCCCAGATCCCTCAGCTGCTCCTCATCAGGCCTGTGCTCCAGATCCTTTCTCAGCTTTGTTGCTCTGTCCTGCCCCAAAACTACCACAAACTTAAAGAACAAAAAAACCCCACTCCAGGTTTTATGTTAGCACAGTACAGGCAATAGGAGAGCGAAAAAGTCTCTGATATTGATTGTTTTGTTTAGCTTTTTCTGCCTTTAAAAAGCAATGCTTCTACTCAGAGGCAATTCTGAAAGTCAGCAGGTACAATTAGACTGGCCATTGCACGTGGTCTTGTGGTTAGCATCACCAGAGGATTTATTTTGCCCTGTCACTCGTTGAAACTTAGCCTGAAGCAGCCCTGGTTTCAGAAATGCACAGCAGGGGAATTAGGGAGTCCCCAGAGCTACCCCCCCTCCACAGAGGTACTGGGATGTACTTCCATAAGGCTCACCCAAGAGGACAGGAGTGAGCTGGCTTGTCTTTCATATGATTATAGAAAAATGTAAAGGAAAAACGGGGTTTAGTGATGCTACAAAAACATTCCAATTCCTTTCCAACAAGGCGTGTTTTGTCAGGGAGAGCTGGAAAAATCACGAATGTTGTATAACTCCCCAGTAGAAATCTCATTATTTTGCCTTTTGTTTTCTGGTGTGATGTATTTTTCTGTCATATTAAAAATGAATGGACTCTACTTTTCAAGCCCTACCATGCATCATTCTGTCTCCCCTTGGAGTGAGTCACTGTGTGTTACAGGCTGACTCTTGCTCGAAAGAATTGAGTTCACAGTGGAAAACAATTATGCCTCACAATAACTTTACTAACACAGTTACTGTCAACCAAGATCTCTCTAAGTGGGGTGTTATGTAAAGATGCAAAATGAAGGATGGAGAGGATATTTGATTAACAGGAAGAAGGCAAAGCAAAATAAGACCCTTCTGGATCTGGAATGCTTAACTCCCATAGTGCCAGGAGTTTGTTTCTCTGTTCAGGCTGAGTAACAACTTGCTACTGAGGCTGAATGAGGCAGTTCTGATGTGTTAGAGCTTCTACAAACTACCAGCTGAGATACTAAAGATTTCAGTGTCTCTGAATATTTCTACCACTACATCACCATTTTTATGGTTAACTACCTTCTCATCTGCATAAAAACTACTCACATCTGGTTGGTAGCTCTTACACCGAATTAATTTCTCTTCCCTTGCCTGCCCCACATGACAGGAATGCAGAGCTGACGAGTTCTTGTCCCTGGACCTCCTGATAAAACCTACCCCTCTGTGTCTCCTGTATGTAGCCATCTGTCTAAAACGTTACACAAGGCGCTCTCCTGCATCCCCATCACTTCTCACAGAGAGTTTCAGTTTCAACAGAGCCAACCCATGTTCTTGCCAGTCGTTCACACAACTGCACACTGCTACTCTGAAGGTGAGGGTGGGCCTTGCGAGTTTTTATTTTCAAGCTTTGATTGTGCTCCATCAGCGTCTTCCCTGACACCTAAACCTGCACCTCCTGCCTACAGCAAATAAGACTTGGCTCCACCATTACAGTAACCCTGCCAAGAGGAGTGTAAATACTGGCTGTTGAAGTGCTGCTGAGCTGGTTTTGACCGGGCTCACACGACTGATTCTAAAATGATTTATTCTCTCTATTTTCCAGCTGGTGGGCTTTGTCTACGCCTGTTACGTTGTTAGTGTTTTTACAGAAGAAGAAGACAGCTGTAAGTATTTATCAACAGATCCCTTGGCAAAGGTTATAGTGAATTTTATTTCTCTCTCAGATGTTTGTCTGTCAGGACTGAGTTGCTATCAGATTTCTTTCCATCTCTGCCCCTGTGGGGTATGGCACTACCTGCCTCTCAAGGATCAGCTGGTTTTACTGTGAGGGTTTTTCTTCCCCATGTCAGTATGTGTTAGATGCTGTAATTCTGCTACACAATTCCACCATAAAAGAGCTTGGTTTTGGCTTCTCAGCTGGACTAAGCTTTAAAGAAACTGGGCAGCTGCTTCTGTTCTCAAGCTTGTATAGCCTAAGAATAATGCCACTGAAATATTACTGCTGTGATTAAGAGCACCTACGACAATTCATCCCGGTAGGTGACCTGCTGAGTCTCATGTGCCACAAGCTGAGGATGAAGGAGAACATGAGATTTCTTGCCAAGGACCAATCTGACCACTTAATTTAAGAGCAGAGGAAGTACTGTACTTGAATTACAAGGAGGAGGAAGGAGCCAACCCCCTTGTGTTTGGCTCACAAATCTCTTCAGTGATGCGCTGTCACTGGACGTGTGTCAGCAAAGACTCAGGGGCGTCACCTGGGTCTGTGGGATCTGTGCAGATATCCATAACCTGGCCTTGGATGACTTTGCCCTTCTAAAACTCGAAACTTTGAGACCAATAATTTTACAAACAGAAGAATGGATGCATAGAGTTAAAATAAACATGGAGTTGGATTTCTTTGGCAGCGTGCTGGGCCTAAGCCAGTTCACTCCAGCAAAGGGTCTGATACACAGGTTTTGCATCCAAATATCAATTCTTTAAGACATTGATGAGGTTTGTGCAAGTAGCTTTGTTGTTTTAAAGAGCAGCTGGCATGGATGAGAGCTGAAAAACAACAGCTTTGAACTGAATATTTGAAAGTGTGTGAAGAATGTGTTTTCATAGGAGTGAGAGGAGATGCATTACTTATCTGACTTGTCCTCATGGTTCTTTTTCTTCCTTCCTGTGTGGCTGAACTCATTCTAGTGGCTTTATTGATCATTTTTTTTTTAGAGCTAGGCAGTGCACTTAGAGAAGGTGCTACATTATAGTAATATTTTTTAAATTACCCTATAGCTCTTCTATTAGCTAAACAGCTTCAGTTCTGAGCCCCTGCTGAATACTGTAAAGCAGTAACTTGACAGAGCTCATTTTTATAGTAGGGATCCGTTAGGAGAGGCAACCACATGGAAGGGAGCTTTATCTAGAAACACAGAGCTGTTAATTTCAGGATACATATTATTTTTTTTTCCACTAACAAATTCACTTTCCCTCCCAGTTTCCCAGCTTGGAGTTAAAATGCCAGCTTGAATAATTAACAATGACAAACCATCAATATTTCACACTCGCAGGGGTAGATCCTTCCAGTGACCTGAATAAATTTGAGCTGCGTTTTAATTTTCTCTTCCATTTGTGGTTTCCTTTAAATGTTGCTTTGATATGCAGCATGAAGTAATTATAAGTGCTGAGGCACATTAATCAGGAAGCTCCTGCTAACGTGATTTTCATGAGAAAACACATCAGTAGGGATCTACTAATGCTGATTTGTGGGCAGGAATATTTTAGATGTGCTAATGCACTGTAATATATTGCAACAATGAACCACTCTTAGGATTTTTTTTTTTTAAGTGACTTGGATTTTGAGTGCACTCAACCATTATCCCATAGATGCTCAGATGATAGGACATGTGTTTGTTCAAGGTACTACATAGTTACTCAACTGCAGTTCTTTAAGATTTCCTAGTTTAGACATTCCACAACTGAGGTAATAAAGTGTCTGTTTTTTAAAAGTGCAACCTTTTTTGATTTTAAGATACTCAAATGTTTTCAAAATTGGCTGAGGAAAGGTCAAATCTCACTGGAACTATTTGGGAATTATCCCCACAATTCACTTAGAACCTCTACAGATTTCACCCATTACCTGATAGTTGTTCCAAAATCATGGTGTTGGCATGAAGCTCTCCATCAAGATGGAATTTCTCGGAATCTGTTGCCCTTAGGTTTCTAAATATATTTTTAAGAGAGTTTTTTCACATTCAGTATATTAGTAAATATTTTTTTCTGTTGTTTGATCACTAAAAAATACCAAAACTCTTCAGCTAAAATTTAAAATAATAGTGCCACCTTCAGGAAAGAAAAGTAAACAGGCACTTATATAGTTAATGGCACTTGGACAGGATGGCTTTCACACTTCTAAACAGAATGCACTAACTTGGCACCAAAAAGTGGTCTAAGTTGAATCTATTTTAAAGGGTTTTGCAAGGCCTGCAAGGTCAGTCACAAATCACACCACATCACACCCCTCCTGCCCTGGCTGTGCTGGCCAGCTCAGTGACACAGGCTTGGCTTAATGTCAGGGGAACTGAGACAGGCTTGGAAAATGCTTCTCTGGTTACTAAGGGAATTGTCACTTAAAACTCTCCCTGCTGAGTTACGCTGCCCTTCTGTGAGCACTGGAGAAGGGAAGCATTGTTCCTATTTGTACACAATTAAAAGAAATTGAGTTGGCAGAGGGGACGTGAAAAATATCAGAGCTGAAGATAATGAGGTGCTTGCAGTTTTCCAAAGCTGCTGTTGTCTTGCAGGGAAGACAAGTGGGGCAAGAAAATTCCCACTTCACTGTATAGCCTTCAAGGGGATTGCTGTGCTGCCAACTTCTCCCTGGCATTCACTCAGGAGCCATTCCCCAGCTTCCTCCCTTCGGCACAGTGTGGAATGGCCGAGCCTTTGTAGGCTCACTCTCATGTGAAGTCACAGCGTGCTGGCAATATCCAAGGAGGTTTTTTTCTGGAGTCTTTTGTTAGCTCTGCTTTAAGTCTTGTGTTGGCTGAATCTCCTCTTTGCCACATTTGCCCATCCCAGCAGATCCCAGGAATCCATACCTGAAAAATCATTTTTCTGTTCCATCACTAATTTTTATGTTATGCCATGACATGCACCAACCTTTTCTCTCATTTCCTTTCGACTTTCTGGCCATGTTTGTTTGTTTATTTGAGTTTTGATTTTTTTTCAGTTGATTTCATTGGTGGATTTGATCCATTTCCTCTCTACCATGTCAATGAAAAACCCACCAACCTTTTGTTCAAGCAGACATACCTGTAAGTATCATCTCCTGTGCTAAGAGGCTGTACTAAGCATCTCTTGCTTTGGTGGCTCAAGGGTTCCACAGGTTTGGGTTTTTTTCCCTCCTTGCAGGTTGATTTCTCCAACAGGCTTTTAAGGCATGGAAGGAAGGAAGGAGTGGACACCAGAAGGGGTGAAGCAGCCCCTGCTCAGCCCCAGGGTGAAGCTGGAGTTGCTGTGCTTGGCTTATGGCAGTGCTGTTGGATAGGAAACAGTGGGGCCAGCTATAGGATATTATTGTAAACAAACTACTGGATGCCTTTTCCTTGAAGAAAGCAAAGGGAGTTTTTTTTCAGCCATGATTGGTTCCCAAGCAGAAGCTGTGAGGAAGGAAGGGTCAGCCACAGCACTAGCAGAACATGATTCCCACTGTCAAGGTTAAATTGTGGTCTGTCAGGCAAAGCTTCAATGAAACATTTGTACTGGGCTAAACTTTATGCAACATAGAGTTATTTAAGCTGTATTTAGCTCTGTGGACAGTCATAACTGAGCTGTGACCCGCACATCTGTGTCACTTTAACCACAGCCCTGTCTGTGTCATACTCCAATAATCCTCTCACAGTAGCACCACAAAATTTGACTTTGTCTTGGGAACGGGGTCTCCCTGTCCCTGCTTGTACTTCCAGAGATCCTGGAGGGTACAAAGGTAACGCTCCAGTGAATTAAATTTAAGTGAGCTTTAGATGGTTTGTATTCAGGATGGCACAGGTTTGCTCTTAAAGTTTTGTTTTTGTTTTAATTTATTTATTTTAAATTCTGTTGCCTACAAAAACTGAGTGCCTTCTGTGTGTGGGGCAGCCCAAGAGTTCAGCTGGGAGCAGGGAGCAGAAAGAGGAGTTTTCCACAGCAGCATCTCTCATATCAGTAATAGAGATCCATTGTTGAATTCCCCTTTCTGCCTCTAATAATCCCTTCCCACTGCTGAAGGCACAAGATCACAGTTTCACTCTGTCCACTTAAAGGCTGGTTCTTAATAAGATTCTAAAACATAAAGGCCAGTATTGTCTGCTTAAAACAGCAAGGAGACGTGATTTTTTAATATTTTTTAAATTGATCTGTAAGAGGCAGTTCAACATGTAGAATTTTTTTAAAGCAGCTGCTAAGAGAGGTTGTTTTGGGGACTAATGTTACCAGAGAGTCCTGCCCAAAAGAAGGATGTGAGAAGGGGGGAGAAGACTGGGGCTGAGGGAAGAAAAACTCCCCCCAAAGAGATTGGTAGATGTGCCCCTCTAATTTCACAAGGACTCACTGCCCACTTTGTCACTGCAGCACAAGATCAGGAGAACGAGTAATTTTTGCAAAGCAGTTGGATTCCCTTAACTTTAGGGGTTCTGTACTGTTATTACAAGGGATGCTACAGGAGATTAAATATTGATTTCTCTCTCATTTTGTCACAGCAGGGTGGAATTTTTCATAGTCTGCAGAAGCTGTGGAGCCTTAAGCAGCTCCCTGATTTACTCCCTTGATGCAGCAGTCTGCTGAAGGAACATCACACACTTTTACACTGCTGGGTTTGGGCTGCTTTTTTCTTCAAATGACCAATTCTGCTTGTGAAAGGGGCTATCACTTCATATAAATGAAGTTTTCTATGTGGGGAGAGTGGAATACGGACACAACTTCAAAATGTAAGACTTCCTCCCAGGCCTCAGTAAGATGGGAAGCTGCTGCTGAAGTACACAGATAATTTTGCAGTTCCTCACTCCTGTTCTTCAGCCCATCACTTCTCTGTTGATGGCTTCTGCCACCACACAAGAATATTTCTTTCTGGCTAACAGCACGTGAAAACAGCTGCTGAGCAGTAGATAAAGTGACCCTCTATAAATTTCACAGCAGCCACCAAAGAGCAATTTCTGTTTATTTATTTCAGCCTTGCTATTGCCTTTCTTCCACATGTATGAGTGGGAGTGAGGGGAGGAAGGGATTATTGATTCTCAACTAATGATACCATGGAGTGTTGCAGTCTGGGGCACTGAGTGCCAGATGCCCTCGTCCTGCTGTGAAAATCCTTTAGTGATGACTTGAAGGCATTTTTTTTAATTTTTATATCCTGTTCAAGAAGATGCAAAACAACAAATACATCCAAATTCTTTGAAGTGTAAATTTATAGAAGAGCTAGGGATCTGGAACATGGGCTTTCTGGTTTTAACTCCTTTTTGTTAATGGAAATACTGAACAAAACCAAATATATTCCACACAACTTGAAGCTGACTGCAGCCATGAACTTTCATTTCAGGATGGCATCACTCCCTTGTCCTGATAATGCACTTGCTGGGCTGCCACAACTCTCTAACAGGATCACTTTCCCTGCTTCCCTAATGGAATTATCCTATTCACTCTAGTTTTATTTATCCTTTTCTGATAAGATCACACTCTTTCCTCTCAATGTGCCCTTTCCCTTGTCCTGGCTTGCGTTTTTCCCTAATCTCTCCTCTTCATCTCTCCAAATTTATGAGTTTTCAGAGATCCAAGGCCCCACAGAACACTGACGTGACCTGGACTGATGAGCACAGTTTATGCCCAAGACTAACCCTCACAATCTCTGTATTGAACACACAGCCCAAGTTAGAAAACATTTAAATATGCTGCCACAGTCCAAAGATACTAAAGGGAAACTGCAGTGTTCCTTGGCAGCCTAATTCAGTGGTTATCAGCTGCTAAATTCAGTTCAAACTGTACACCCCATTTCTGGCCCTCAGCTTCCATCCATTGCACTGCAAGAAGTTCTTAAATACCTTTGCCTCCCACTGGGAGGAAAAAACATCCCTCCAAAACCTTTTACTGATAATAGGTACTTCCAGACTACAATCCAGTTATCTCTCAGCTTCCTCATGGTGATCTACTGCCTTCCTTGACCTCAGTTGCAAGTCTCCAGTTAGTGGAAAACCTGACAAATTATCAAGTCAGCTGTTATTTTTCTCTATTGAAAAAGCCAACAGCAACAAAAATCAACTGTCATTTTGTACTATTGCTTACAATGGCAACATTTAAGTGTGCTTCATCTTAATTTGTATCTCCAACACTTACACAGCAAAAATGGTTGTCTAAAAATACAGTTATTTCTATTTAGGTTCCACAACTGTTTCTGCTCTACATTTCATTGACTCCAGGGGAGTTTGGCTGGGATAGTTACTATTTCAAGTCACAACCTTAAGTAAAAGAAGCTCAAATTATCATGGAAAAATTGCTCTGGAAGTTTTACTGTGTAACAGAATTACCCTTAATCTCACTGCTGATTACCAATTAAGGGACTACACTAATTATTTAATAATAATATATCAGGAATCTTGATAGAAGACATATTAAAGTCTTCAGTGCCTGAGTTTCTGTGTCAAAGGATAATAAATCGCTTCTTGAAAGCCAAAGTTACTCTCCTGAGGCCAAAAGAGTTTTCAGGAATGAAGGGCTGAGCCCTTTCCCCTCTTTTAGCTAAAGCCCAAGTTCAGGCTGTGCCTGCTGGCACCACTGTCTCCCCTTGGGCTGCACAGCTCAGGCCCTCAGCTCCAGGTTTTGTTCTTGTTCACTTGTAGTCACAGAACTCTCATCATTTGAGGCAAAGAAGCATTTTTGCACCAATAACTGTGGAAGGGTTGACTGAGCCAGCTTTGACATTTCCCACTAAAGCTCTTATCTCCAAGCACCCTGCACTACCTGCCAAGGCAGGAGGAGGCCCAGAGCATCCTATCATTTGTCAGCACTTCCCTCCTGCTGCATCCATTTAGTCTCCTGACATCATTCTCCGAATTTGTTTCAGAAAGCATTGCTGTGCAATCTCAATTATAAAGCAGAATAGCCTCAAAGCACGATTTTGTACACAGTTTAGTGCTAAATCAAGAACCTGCTGGGTGACAGGAGGTAGCCTCTATTTATTTAAAAGGTACAGAGATGAGCAATAGATCTTCCTGCCTTTTAAGACTGTATTTATAAGGCCAAGCAGCGAATTGCACAGTTGTGAAGCTCCAGCCTGTAACACTCACTGTGATCTGGCACCCCAAGTGCTACATCACATTAATGGTTTGAGAGCCTTAATTTTAATTGTGTGGCCAGATTTCACTGACTTGCCTTTCCTCAGATCTACCAGTGGAAAGGGCCATATGGTTGGAGAGGGTGTGACTTTTATCAGATGGAGAGCTCAGTATTGACAGGGCAGCAACAGGGGGTATTGGTTAATTGAGTGATCTAAGGCTCCAGTTGGCAATTGCTCACTTTAATACTCCCTAATCAATCTTTTGTGGTGCAGTGGCTGCTGGCCATGGGCATGAAGCAGCTGTGGGCATGAGCATTAAAGGACTAGACCCCATACAACAGTCATCCCTTACTGGCTTAAAGGGGGTTCTTCAATAGATCAACTGACAGTTGATCTAACTAATAACATTAATTAAGGATGACCAGAATACTTTACAAAGGAAACTTTTACTTAAACAGGAAAAAAAAAAATCCCACTTTGTTTTGAGGAGAGAAAAAAACCCACAAAACAAAATGCTTCTGCTTCTCTTTCTAGGTAGACTTTTCCCCAAACAAACAGTTTGCTGAATATCAACATGAATTTGCAAACTCTTTTGATCAACCTGAAGCTGCATGTGTAAGAGGTGATGTTTCAGCCAAAAACACTCACTCACCTTTACTGCTGGCTCCAAAAGTAGATCTGCTTACACTGCTGCATCTACACAAAAAGCACATCACTGTGATTTCAAGCAGCTACTTTATTCTAGAGATGACCCTTAGCTTCTTAAATTCCTAACCAAGTTTTGTGTGGCTCCAAGTGCTGAGGGATCCATAGATCTAACACTCTGGCTGTTTTATCTGTTCCTTAGCCTAACTGCAGCATATTCAGGTCTGACATGTGCATAGTGTCCTTGCCAGGCTTGAAGACTACTTAACCACGTTACTTCTGAGCTCTCAATCCTATTCCTCATCTGTAATAAGTCATACTTAAAAGCCCAGAACAGGAAAAAAAAAAAATGTCCTAATTCTTTCCCCACCATTTCTGTTCTCCTAAGTAAGCAATTGAGTACTTGCTCCACACTAATGTCCCACATTTACCCTTTTTTCCCCCCCTTACAGGCCTGCGTAAGTGAAGAGGAGCCAGAGGATGGATAAACCTTGCACTCCACCATCAAAGGTGCTGCAGGAAACAGTCCCCTGTGGCCTGGATCTTTGGCAGAGGAAATGCAGGATGGCGAACTCCATTCCATTTTTTCGTTCCTTGTCTTCTTTCCAAATGCAATGAATGTACAGAGAACGGCCACACAGTTGGTTTGTAATTCTCCAAGTGCCCTGACGAACCTTTCCTACCATAGTCTGCTGGTACTAGCCAGGAAATGACACAGGCCCAGAGACCTCTGGCAGAACAAGTTCACCAAGAGCCTCTCTCAAGAGATGCAGTTGAAGTCGGAGCTGCTTCCTTGCGGCCTTGGATCCATAAAGAAGGAAGCAACGCGTAATGCCCTGGGACATTTCATATGTTCTGTAGTTAGTTTCTTCCCCTTCTCCTTTCCCTTGTGCTGAAAAGAGCCTAAATCCCCTAACACAACTTCATCTCCTCCCTGCCTGTATAGAACTTGGTGGGGGCTCTTTACATTTGAGTTACTTAGGCTTTTTTGGGTTTTAAATTATAGTTGAGAACTCTTCCCTTCTTCCTCCCTGCCCATCCAGGACTCCCTTCCTCATCCCTCTGTAGACTTGGCAATAAGCATTTGTCCTGGATTTCAGTGTCATGTGACCTAACTCCTATAATGCTGAACAGCTAAAAACTACTACAAGCACCAAATCTTTACTCAGCACCCAGCTTTGCCCCATTTCAACATGCCAAGCCATTCTCAGAGCAGCTGTAGCTTGCTCTGGGTTTGCCCAGCTACATTAAATTAGCACTGGTGTAGCCACGTACACAGCTGAATCCCCCTGCAGGACACCGAAAAAGGCCTAGTTCTTCATGGATCACAGGTGGGTTTGTCCCTGCCTTCTCCATCGAGCAGCCACACTTATTCCAGGCACAAGCCTGGCAACATTCCCACGGAAGATGGGTTTTTTTGTGACAGGTTTTTTGAGGGGAGGGAAAGGGCTGAAGGGGGAATGTAAGTGTAATTAAGTTGCATTAATGAGCTGCAGCAATTAATAAAGAAAAAAAACAAAACCAAAACCAATGTCAGTTATGTTAGCTGTGTCTCCCAGCACACTGAGTATTAAGCAGAGAAAGAGCACTTGGCCAGGCAGCAACTTCCAAGTGCTGTTGTAATTTGTTATTGTTTTACCTAATCTGTTTGGGATTACTTGGCATTTTTGAAAAATGCTTTTCAGAGGAGTCAAGCTGTAAGCCATGCTAGGGAGAAGTGTGAAGGAAGAATGAAAACAAATAAAAAACATTAAGTGCTAAATCAAAGACAGAATGATGCAGCTTTTTTTTTTTCCTATTCCAAAGAACCCAGGAAGCAAAGTTCTCTTCTATAAACCCAGATGTATAAGCACCAAGAGAGCATTTTTTTGGTTCAGTGAGGCTTCTATTCCAGATACCCACTGCAAATTAACATCCCGAGTTGTGATTGGGTGCAGCTACAAGTAAAAATGTTGTTTTCTATATAGTTTTTCCCCCCCTTCTTTTATCCACTGAAAGCCACAGCTTCTGACTGAGCAAGACAGACAACTGGTTTGATACTACTGTCATGACTAGAGGAAGAAAAAGCTCAATCATATTTCAAACAGCTCTACCTGACAAAATATAACTGCTCTCCTTATTAGTCAATATTGTATCCCCACTAAGTCAAAAAATAGCAGTGAAACACCATGAACAGCAAAGTGCATACACTGTCTGTTGGCACTTTCTCCACCTCACCTTTGGTTCAGTTCATTTCTGCATCCCACTCATTCCTGCCTGCCCTGATGTTCCCTGGAGGGGCAGAAAACCGAAAAGGAATAGAAGAATAGAAGAATAAACATCCTCTAGTCAATGAGATTATTCCATGAAATATTTCATTTATTTGGGGCTTTTTAAATGAATCTTCCCTTCTCTCATCCAAAAACACCAACTTCACGTTTTTTGGTTGACTTTTACTATGATTTCTTTTCCTCAGAGAAATTGCTGTCCATCAGATACCAGCAGTCATTACTGGCCTTGTTTGAGAGCAACCAAAATTCAGCCCAGGCGGTGGAGAAAGCACAGCTTCAGCTTTGAACAGCTGAAACATTTCACTAATAGTTTCAGGAAGAATTCTTCTAGGTGGTAGTATGAAGGAACTCCTGGAATTATTTTGAGGTCTGCATGTCTTTAACACTACACATCTCCAAGCCCTGATGCCACATTTACTAATAAAACTGATAAAAAACACTTGCCAAGTACTCTAAAGAGACTAAACATCAAACTATGCACTTAACAACATTACCTCTTAGCTTTAATAGACACTGGTGAAGTGAATAAATAAAAGTGTGATGACTGAGTAGCTTCATAACTACCACTCCACTACCTGTGTTCATTGCAGCATAAAGCATCAATTAATAGAAGGAAATTAAACACTGAGCCTATATTCAGGTAAGCCTATAATATGTAGTATCAATGACTGCCATAAATCATAAAAAGAAAAAAAAAAGCCACCACAATCTGAGAAAAAAAAACTAAGAGAATCTACCAAGGGTCATATTCCACACTTAATTACCTCCTCCAGTTTTCATTATCAGAGCCATTCATCCTTCATGCTCTGAAAACCCCTCCTGGTCTGCTTGTGCTGGAGCCACTCTGAGCACCACAAGGTCACAAAGTGGTGAGGGCAGGGGCTGGCAGTCGCTTCTACCCCCATGTGCTCTCAGAGCGAGGAGCAGCTGAGGGTTTTGCTCCGGTGGGTTCCCTTATCTCCAGTTTAGGAGTGCCCTCTGTTGGGGACAGGCATCACTGGAGATGCTACCACTCTAAAAACCTATTTCTGGAGGAACATCTTGCCACAGGAAAAACCAGCTTCTCCCTTCCAGACGTGGAAAAGCCACGATTTTCAAAGTGTTCAGTAAGAGAAGCCCCAGAAATAGCTGCACATTTCCAGTCTTGTAGTCCTGCTCACACTTACTTTAGGTTCAAGCCACACTGAGTTGAGTTTAAGAGGAAATAACAGTATTCCAGCACAGAGCTGGTTTTGTTTTCCCTTCTATGATTAGCACTTCTATTTAAACTGTAATATTTTGCTGTTATTTATAGTGGCTAAACAAAGCCAGTGATATCTTGAACACCTAATTTGGCTTGTTGGTGACATTCTGATCTCTATGAAAGCTGCTGTCTGGCAGAGACCCACCAATTCCTCCAAGAGTTGGAGAGTTCAAACTGCTCAACTGGTAATTTCTCTCATCTTTGCCAAGAACTTCACTACTACTACCTTCTTCTTCTGAAGGCAGGGAAGAAGAGAGCATCCACTCTGGTCTGGGGGTGGAACAAGATGGTCTTTAAGGTCCTTTCCAATCTAATTCTATGCCTCCATGACCCACATTTTGTCTTATGAATTCCATGGTCAGAACAGTTACTTTTCTCATGTAGCACTGAGGGACAGAAGTCATCTACAACCTGATGTCAGTCTAATATTTGAGGACACCACCACAGCCCTCCCTCCCCAAGGAGGGAATTGTACTAGAATCAGATACTCAGACCTCCAAGTTAAACAAAGGAAAAATTTTATTCCATGAAAAAGAACAGTTTATTTTTAAAAACATATTTCCTTTCCCCTTCAGTTAACAAGCTATAGTATGGACAAAACTTAATCTTTTTGGCTAAATGATAGAATATTCCATTTTAAATAAGAATGACCAGTTTAGCCAACAAACAGAAGGCCTAAAAAGGTAAGTTTCCATAGCTATCTTCTAGTAGGATAGTACCCAACAGCCAGGGAAGAGCTCCATGGGAAGCTTCAAGGAGACCATAGCAATCCTGAGCAAAGAGCCTTTCACCTGGGGAGGGCAACTGAGAGTAAAGAGGTTGGAGAGTCTACTACAGGCCAGGCTTTTCCACTTAGTTATGCAGATTTGAGTACCAGTAAAACCTTTCATCGATTGTTGAAAATTCAACAAAAAAAGAGGGGAGGGCAGGAAAGAGCTCAGAAGAAAAGGTTAGATTCTCCCCCTCCCACAACACATTGCTGCTGAGTATTCTTGTCTCAATGGAATGCATTTTGTATACAAAAAACTCCCATTTTCACTCAAACTTACTGAAGGAAGCCCTAGAAGAATAATCTCTAAACAACTGCTAAATGTGTAAGAAAGAACCAGAGAGCCTACTAAAAACAGCCTTTGATTTCAACACAGAGCAAAGATTCATTTGAGAACACAGGAATTTGGAGGAGAGTCTGTCAACAAAAGCCTCTCTTTGGAGGACAAAAGAACCCAGCAGAGTTTTTCTGGAACAGTCCTACAGCAACAGTACAGCAAACCAGCAACTCCTCCTAGAAACACCGTGCACAGGAGGCACATTTAGTGAGGTTTTACACATATGCCAAGATACTCTGCAAATAAGACTGCTCCAGCATCAATCTATTTAGTGATTTTCTCCCTCTGCTGTGTTATCAGTGAGCTGTATAGATTTATCTTTCCTCTGGGGTGCATCACAGCTCAGGACATGAAAGTCCTCACACTCCCCTGGATGACAGCTCTGCAGATGGGACACAACCTCAAATTGCGGGCACAGTCTCCACAAGCTACCAGGTGGCCACAGGGAACAAACACAACAGACACATCTCTGTCCAGGCACACTTTGCACATCCTTTCCTCTTGCAGGCGGCGGAGCTGTTCTTCTGTGCTCAGCTGAGACTCATCTTTACCAGAAAAGAAAAAAAAAAAAAAGCCCAAGCTGTTAATAGTCTCACAGCTCCAGAGTGCCAGTCCTGGCAGCTTAGGAAGTCACACTGCAACTTGTTGTTTTGTTCAGAGACTGACTGTGGACATGGCAAAAGTGCCTCTCAGGCAAGGTTCATTTAAGCTGGAAGACTACAGCTATTATAATCTGGTTTATCTGCACAAGATTCAGTTTATCTACACATGCTGGGCTGAGCAGGGACAGAGATCAACATCACTTTACTGTGGTATGTAAATTATCCTAATGAACTGGATTTTTTTTTTATAACAGTCTGATTCACAGTGGAACTCTAATTCCTGAATAAGGGTTTCTAATGTAGGTACCACTCAAGCAAGCACACTCTCCCCTTCAGGATTAAAAAAAACCAAACAATCAATTAATATAATGATAACTGATGCCATTATTCTTAAACTCATCACAATTATGCCTAAACTCAATTCCACCACCACTGTCAGCCCAGAGCACCTGATTCCTTTTGCTGCACAGATTGCATTTCCTCTCTTGATGTTCCAGCCTCCCTCCGAACAGGATCTGTGTAACCAAGAAAGAAGATGGTATTAAATGCTATCCTTGTCTCCCTCTCCAGACAGTGCTGTGTGAAAAGATGAAGCATCCTGGATCTCAGGAGCCTTTGGTTATACACTTCTTGACTCTGTTCTTAATTTCACATGCTCACTCACTATATAAGTGAACCTCCCTATCAAGGCATGTCCACATCACATTCTCTCCTCAAAGCTGGTTTATCCATCAGACAGCAAGAGCCATCAGCTGCTCATTCCTACTATTTAATCACACTTTCAGTTTTGTGGACTTCTCTTTTCCATGTTAGCTAGAGAAATGTCAAACCATGCTATGGAGACAGGAGCCTTGGAAACTGCACCTTCAAGTCAACTTCACTTGGCAAACAGACTCCACAAAACAGATAACACAAGACAGATAGATAAGTTGAGGAAGCTACATATCATCCAGACAAGTAGTATGGCTGTTTGTGATCAATTTATTGATCCAATTTTGAATAGGCTTGGAGTAACCATCCATCCCAGAAGCTTTGCTTCAGACAGCTGCCTCTGCCTGGATCAGATGTGAATTTAGGCACAAATCTCCACATTGTGGAGCTGCTACTGCAGGTCTAAGGGCAGTGGGAACCATTGAAGATATCTACACCAGAGCCTAGTGCAGGCAGAGATAGTCACTGATAACCCAGTAACCACAGCTCCTTCAGGTTTCTTTCCATCAGAATCCCATTGTTCAGCCTACCCAGGAAAGGCAGGCTTGGGGGCATTACCCTTATTAATTCCAGCC